TCGTGACAATAAGGGAGGGAAAAGTAGAAGAATAAAAGGGAAAAGCAGAGGGGAGAAAACAGACATTAAAAGCTGTGAGAACAAGATTTTTCAAGGAAAATAAATGAAGCTCTTTGATTAAAACAGAGAGGGTGCAGGGTGAGCAGAAGGGAGGAGAAAGAAACCACTTCTTGAAAGCTCTGTTTCTGCTCCACTGAAGATCAGGGTCTCCTCCAGCTTGCTGTGATCCCCTCCTGCCTGCCCCTCGGCCTGCGCGGAGCCACCGAGACCCCGGCCTTCACCTCCACATCTGCACCGAGCCTCAGCATCACCCGTCCAGAATTGTTACTGATGCACTTCAGAACAGTATTTACAAACAGCTACCGCATTTGGGTCCGTTTAACAACAGCTGAGCAGTATTAGGTAAGCACAGCCCCAGCTTCAAGCGTTACCGAGGAGCTCCCAAGGGAGAGGCCACTGTGCCATCCCCCTGCACACAGCTCCCCGCATGGGAGGCTTTGATCAGCCCCTGCTGCTGGCGGAGACCAGAGGTGGAGAAAGCCCAGTCCAGAACAGATGTAGCGATTACTTCAACCTCGTCTCCCCTTTTCAAACCAACCAGGGGTGCAGCAGCACCTCAGTGCTCCCGGAGCCGCTCCTGACGTCAAGTCTGGGCAGGCCCCGCAATCGGATGAGAACAGCAGCGATTGTTACGAAAATGACCCATTTCACGCAGGACTCTACAATGACAAACCGGTCCCTCTTGGTCCCCCCTCTGGTCCCCACCTCCAACCAGGCCGACCCATTCCCCCCCCATCCCCTGTGGCCTCAGGCAGGAAATGACCACTCCGTGTGTTGGTTGGAAAGTTCTCAGCGCGTGAGGGAAGCCGGACCCCGCACCCCCCATGGCCAAACCGGCCAGAGACTCCCATGCACAGGGATGCTCCAGTAAGCCCATGGGGACTCCAACTGCCAGAGCTGGACCTGACCAAGTAGTCATTTACTGCACATTTCTCCCCTGTGAAGGTAAAAGGCAGACCATGGGCTGGAAACTCCCATGTCCTCAGCTGTGGGACTGAGAGGAGAGGGGCCAGCACCCCCAAACGAAGCCACAGAGATCAATCCTCCGACCACGCACTGAGAAAAGCTCGGAATGATGCATCAACTCAAAGGCTGATGCATGGCAACACCTCAAAGAGACGACGCAGGATAGGTTCACCCTCAAAATGAAGGCACGCAGCTCCCACAGACGGCTGCACAGCAACACAGGAGCTGAACTGATGGATTCAGCCAAAGTGACCACATCAGTTTATTAGGCATCTGAGAAGCAAACCTGTGTAATTAGGAGGAAACACAGCAAAGCATAACAGAAAAGAAAACAAATTAGAGGGAACAGGGTAATAGTTAGAAGCAGACCGCCACCGTCCCTCAGACAGAAATCAGTGTAAGGTCAGACACAGCACCGGCTGGAAATGAGGAGCTGTGACAGTGACTATGAACATCATTCACAGCTCGTGCTGTACTAAGAAGTGTAACAGAGGCACCATCCAGGTGCCCAAAATCACCACAGAGGCCTCAGCTCCTCCCAACCCACGCTCCCAGAGAATAAGGATATGCACCTACCCTGTGGACTGCACTGCACAGAGTTCGACCAGGAGGAGGAGCAGACCCCTCCTCAGCACCGGGGTCTCCAAACTGCCCTCACCCCTCTCTGAGAAGGGTGCTCTGACCTCCTGAGAGGCTGGTCCCAAGATGAATGCAACCAGGTTATGTGAAGTGACGCCCTTAGGTAAGTTAAATGTTTCCAAAACTTACAGCTGTAACAGGGTGAGCTGGGCATTTGGGCAGAGGGCAATTAAGTTTCAAGAGCCCAATCCAGATTAGGCAGAAGACAAATTTCACGTGACTGAAAGAGCTCAAACATCCAACAAGGAGTCAGCGAGTTCAGGCACATTTGGGCTGGACTGAAATTCTGGACTCACTTGCCTCAAATCTTCCTTAGATGTTGAAGTGTTTCTGATTACACTCTGTGAGGAATACCCAAGCCAGTGTGTCTGATCACGAGAAAGATTTGACATGCAATGCTCAATATGTCATAAATGGAGCAGCAAGCGCTGTGTTATCCTCTGAAAAGACTCTATAGAAAAGTAGTATTAAAAAACCAACGCCTACTACCTTTCACAGATTGTTTTTCCTGCTAGAAAAGTATCTCAGGATTAACAGATTAGCAGTGCATTAGCATTCATGTTCTGAATAAAGTGTCTCTGGTCAATTTTTTGCACGAGCACAGACCGGTAGCTTAAAGGCTACGTGAAATTGCTTTGGATACTAAATAATGTTCAGAGGAAATTGCATTAGATGGCAGGGAAAAGAAATGTGACTTTGTCATTAAGTCTCTAAAGTGCACTCCTCTTTTATCGCCCTCCTCCCCCTGAGATTAATATGGCATTCAATTTTCCAATTATATAAATACATGAACACTGGATTACTAGAGGCAGATAATTGAATATTTTGACTGTTCTACAAGGGACCCTTCACATCTGAAGTGGGAGCTAAACAGGGCACACAGCATCAGCCTGTGCGTGCCCAGGGTACAAAAATCTGTATTAGATCCACAGACTACAAAGATCTCCAAAACAGAGAGATCTTCCCAGTGTTCATTATATACAGCAGTTAATTTATTCCACTGATATCAACGTAGCTCATACAACAGTAAAACCTGGATATTTTAGGCCGTAGATTGTACCACTTGCAAGTCGTAAGGGAAGGCATTCGCAGTTGTAGCATTTCAAATCCGACTCCTGTGTAACTCTGTCTTTACAGGACATCGATCACAAGATGAGAGAAAGCGTGAGCTGTTTTCCAGTAACACACTGCCCGTCGCAAGACAAATGTCAGATGTCACAAAATGAGAAGTAACCATTCTTCAACTTGTGAATGTCTTCAAATATATTACAATGAAACTGTAAAAAAAAAAATGACCCTTTCAGCTTCATCTTTTCTGACAGATGCCAGACCTTGGAGTTTGGCATTTTATCTTCATTCCACAATAATCATTATGAAACTTAACCAAGGCTGAGGGCAGCGGTGTTAGCCTACAACTGTCCTCTTAGGTACGACACAGAAAATATCAAACAGTTGAGCTGTTGAACTAAAAAAGATCATCTACTGCTGCTCTTATTGGTGTTACAGGAAAAGACAAAGAGGAGGAGGGACACCCACACGTGCTGTGTTCACATGCCAGGTATTGGTTTCTTGTGGGCTCAGTGTGACTTCTGCATTGCATTGCCTTGCCATGCTGCTTAAAACTAACACCAGAAAGAAACTCTAAGCTTTCTCTGGAGTAAAAACTCACTCAGTCCTGTGTAGGTGCATTTAGTCCGGGACATTAAATGGGTGGACTCCCTTTGCACTGACAGTGTTCATCCAAGGTCACGTTTCTGACCCATTCTGACATACAGCCTTGCCATTTCTGATAATGTGAACACCACCAGAACATAAGCAGACTTGTTAACATCAAAGAATAGAACAAAGGAGGAAAATCAAACTCAGATGTAGGTGTTCATTATTGTAATAAAATATGAGACTGAAATGAATGCGACTGCAGACCCCTGAAGCTCCATGATTTTCACGTCCTTTCAGCCAGTCTCAAGTGCTGCTTCACCCTCCGCCAGAAGAGTGGGATTGTGGAAGTCACGGTGCATTTCTGTAAAAATAAAGACCACTCTGTACAACTCCAGCAGTACAGCCCAGCAGTCTTGACAAAATATCCTGTTAAATAATACACGTCTCATTTGTACAGTTATTTAAGGGGAAAAATCACAGAATCACAGACCGTTAGGGATTGGAAGGGACCTCAAAAGCTCACCCAGTCCAATCCCCCTGCCGGAGCAGGAACACCCAGATGAGGTTACACAGGAAGGCGTCCAGGCGGGTTTTGAATGTCTGCAGAGAAGGAGACTCCACAACCTCTCTGGGCAGCCTGGTCCAGTGCTCTGTCACCCTCACTGAGAAGAAGTTTCTTCTCCAATTTCAGTGGAACCTCCTGTGTTCTTCATTCAAAATGAAGAGTATGTGCACGGACAAAAAAATAAGAAATCTGCTTTAGATGTTACTGCAGGTCCAAGTAGGGTAACAAACATGCAGAAGGTAAAAACCAGGCAAACCTACAATTCGTTTAGCCTAAAAGTCAGTGACAGGATTTGTTTCACTGGAACTTAAATGAACTCTTAGGCCTTTACACCGTAAAGCCTTTTGCAGAACCAGTGCTTAGTACCTGAAGAAAAAACCACCACTTGATTCACCAAATTTGACTTGATGAAGCAAATTCTTTCTGTGAATAAGTGTGAATGGAGCGTATTGGTTCTGTGGAAGCAAAAGGATAAAGATCTTTAGTTTTTCTTTAAAAAATTAACAGTACTTGTCATGGCAAAGTCATGTACAAAGAAGTAGGACCCAAAATATTATTTCAGTGTTTTAAGACTGACTTTAAAAAATAAGTACCTCAGCAATGACCAAATCTGCATTGATTCCAACAAGCACAGTGCAAGCCACCAAAAGAAGAGGGTCAAAGCCTGAAGTCTGACTACAAAAGTAATTCCAGGTTTCAGTTTTCCAAAGTCCACGGCTGGTATTTGGGACTGCAGCTCCTGACTTGGCCTCCGTGACACATCCAGTGCATGCAAAGCAACGTAATTCTGTTGATGTGAGTGTGGAGCAGTGCTGCCAATCCCACAGTGCTGGTTATCATCCCACTGGATTTTGGTCCTTGTCTTCACACGTGGTTTTCTACGCACTCAGGATGAAAGCAGAGTTTTTCATGTGACGTGTGCCGTAGGTCCAACAGCGGTAAATGACCCAGCCATTGCCAGGTTCGTTATAGCTGAGAATGGGAACCTGCAGTGGATTTATTGAAGAACGTCAAGAAAAAAGCTGAAATAAATAACTGTGACTATCAGATGAAGGAAGTCAAGAGTCCGCTTCTCCTCCTTCAGTACACATCCATATCCAAAGATCCATTCTCAGTTCTGGTCTGGTGAATTAGCACTGTAATGATGATTTCTGTCCTCTGCAAGTTTACTGGCTGCGGACATGCGATTCAGAACAGGCGTATGTGCCGCTGGTGCAAGGTGAAGTCCATCTGTCTGACAAGGAACTGCTGCACTTCGGCGCTCCACGACCCCGCGGCCGCAGCCCAGGCGCTTCTCATCCAGGGCAGCCAGATGATACTCACAGAAATCGATCAGCGACGCCACTTGCTCGTGAAGTGGCAGGGACTTGTATTTTTTCTGAGCCAGGCAGAAGAAAGCTTCGACAAAGGCTTGCAAACACATTCCTGCAAGGGAAAGGTGTTTGTAAGAGATTCGTAGCATGGTGTTCTCTAGCAAACTGCATTCTTCAGACATAATAATATCTCTTGTTTCTTTAGCACCAAGGTCAGATGTGTACGTGCTTGGCATGGACACACACCATCGAGTTAATTAACATCTTTTAGTTTAAACAGCAGCCATCTAGAATGTTCACCAAAAAAAGAAATTGCCTGTCCCTCAAAACCAAAAGACAAGGATTTATTTGTATATAATGCACATGAGCTCATTTAGTGTTTCAGCACAGGGCATGCCCAGGCTGGGTCCCAGATGGGCGATACTCTCTGTCACTGAGGCTATTTCTGCTCTTACGGACACCAGCCTGACCTGCAGCCTGGCATCCAGAGGCAAATTGGTGCAGCAACAACTCATTTTAAGATGCTGCACAATTAAATTGGTGCAACAAACACCTCGGTTTCTGCTGCCTCAGATATTGGGTTGAAAGAGAATCAGACACACAGTAATACACTGAACTCCAAGGAAAACAGTCTACCGGGAGAGAAAAACAAGTTCATATCGGCACCTGAATTGGGTCGTTGAAACCTCGTATCTGTATAGAGGGACCTGAAACAAAAGTTCAACTGTAGAACTACTGAAACAATGTGGCATTTTCAGTCTGCAGCACTATAAAGATAACCCCATTACCAAGTATCACCTTATAGCAGAAGTGAGTTTATTTGAGGGGTGCCTTTCCCTCTGCAGAGGCTGTACCGGGAATGAAACCTGAGCCTTCCTTCTGAAGGTGAAGGGACCGTTTTTTTCAGCCATACCCAGTAACTCCACAATAGCAGTTTTGTTTCAGCTGAATGGAGAACAGCTGAAGTGTGTGGGAAGGGAAAGTGGTGCAGTGCCAAAAAATTACCCCGCTGTAATCAAACCCTCTGCTCTGCCCCTCCAGGAACAAAAGTCCCCTGCGGGAGCCACGTGCTGCAGAGCAAACTCCTCAGGTGCTGTTTGAACACATCTTGCTAATAACACATTACACAGCCAACAGAAAGAGGGGCTGCATATTAACGCTAATTACTGTATTTAAAACCTAGAAGTAATACCTACTTTAATTCTTAATTAAGAAGCCAGACCACAATTGGGTTTGCTGAATCCCAGCACCAAGGAACAGTTATAGCTGCCTCGTGCTTCAACTGGCTTTCCCAGTTTGAACATACACTTAAGAAGATTATTTTAGGATGACATACTGAAAGGTTTGGGTTTAACTTCATGTTGGCTTATTGATGTTGCAGGAAAGGCACCCTTTCAAAATATTACAATTACATTCTGGAGTATAATTTCTCTCAGCTAAAGCTGCAGCTGGGGTTGCTTACGATCTTGGCTGTAAAAGGGCTTGCAAAGGAATTGTTGAGTTATCTGGAAGCAGCAGCTGCCAGCTGGGTAAATTATTTTATCAGTCACAGAGAGCTGCAGGCAGGGAAAGCACCTTTAGTAGCCACACACTTTCTCCCTTGTAAGTGACACTCACGGGAAGCACTGAGTGAAGGAAGCCCTGGTTTGACACCAGCAGCAATAGGGACTGCATGGGTTACAGCTGGGAGTGTGCCAAAGCCCACAGAAATGGTTGTGTGTTTTGGTTTTAACACCTAGAAAACATCTGGTTCATTGAGACCGTCAACAGATCTCCTGATTTTGGAAAACCTGAAGGTTCACTGGCATTGCTATTATTTTTGCTCATGAAATTCTATCAGCTGTCCACGTAAGTAACTTACATGCTAAATGCAAATACTCAAATTGTACATACCTGTCAAACTAAGGCGACCCCAACCTACCTCTAAAGTATTCCAGGAATTCACACATAATAAACCACACTATCTCCTCTGCATTATACTTTTATTTTCTCCCTTCTAATCTTAGGCCTGGATTTATTCTATCAGTCATGTGAACAGTTTATTTTACTTATCCTCTTTTTGCCTCATCTTACCTGACTTCATATACAGAGACTCTACAGGATAATACAGGATACCTATGTTAAAGCAAGACAAAATAATATGTACCTGTTTCATACCAATATAAGCTTTATTAACATTTCTGAAGCACATTCCAATATTCACAAAAAGGTTACATACAACCAATTTTACCATGGTTGGACCTGACCATGCTCTTACACATTATTATGGGTATCACTGACTCTTGATGTTTACGCAGGAGGAAACTACAGATGTATTTTAGAGGGGTGGGATAACAAATACAAAAGTCAGTCTGAACATAGAGGCTTTTGATTCTTCTGCTATTTTAGCATTAAATATCTATCTATCTAAAGATATAGATATAGATAGATATAGATAGATAGATATAGATACATAGATACATCTAGGTATCTATCTATCTATGTATGCAGGAGTCCCACACCTTGACAATCCTCCTTGATGGCTACAGGAAGCATGGACATAAAACCTTCCAGAACACTCCAGCTGCTGTTTCCTTGCTATAAATGGTTCAAAAAATGTCATCAGGAGCATTTGTTTTTGTTGTTAAGATGGGAATATTAGCACAATTGAAGTTATTCAACTTTTTACAAAAGCTATGCAAAAGTGGCCAAATTTACGGACTCAACTCCATATAAAAATGTAACAGCAATTATAAAAATTAAGTTATATATTAAATGGCATATTTAGGAATTAATCCCTAAGCTCTGCTATTTGATAGATTACTGTCCCAGATCTTAAATGTGACCAAAGCAGATGGGGAGGTAATTCACTGCTGGGGTGAGGTTGGCTGCTTGACCCAGCTGTGGTACCAACAAACCATTTACACCAAGGGGGGCTTGCAGCAAAAAGCGCTGCTACTTATTCGTAATAAGAGCCTTTTAAAAATTTATTTCTAGCAGAATTTGTTGTACATGTACCTGCCTCAGATGTACGTGCCTTGTTCCCATTTTTTTTTAATTGAAAGTCTGAGATGGGCTTGAGCTACCAAAATTACTGAAAAACCCCAGCTTCCATAGTCTTCAAATAGAAAATAGTGTTACCTGATTCTCTGTGGTCAATTCCCATGCTGTTCCACCTTCTTGTGATATCAATATATAAGATATCTACAGAAGCCATTGAAAAATTGCTGTTACTCAGTTTGCAGTTTCTGTTAAAAATAGAGAAAACAAGAAGAAATTCTGATTACGTCCACACTTCCAAGTTAGAAGAAATTCTGCGAGGGCAACTGAGAGAGCACTGGGATAAGAGCTGACCCATGTTGTATGCACACACTCACCGTAACACGCTTACTCTAATAAGTGCATTTGAGTTGACCATTACACACAGCTTTCTCCCAGGCTATGGCTAGCACTCTTTCTGAGGCCATTAACAGACTGGAGTTAATTGGCACGTTGCAAAACCCACCACAAATCTGCACAGACTATTTACATGAGGCAGAGTTTGCACAGAAAAATACCCAAATACTCTTATCTGACTGAGTGATCCTGTTTGGAAAGGGTTGGGGAAACCTTTCAGGCCCAGAATTACTTCTCCGTGCCTGGACACGGAGCAGATGTACCCTGTGTGTTCCTGAATGCTGCACGGAAAACAGGAGCAGATCTGAGTGCATCTGAGGCACTTGGTGATAAACACATGGAGGAGATGTGACCACTGTGTGTTCTGAGCCCGCAGTGCAGTGTGGAGCAGTGCGTGAGAATTCCCCATCTGGCCAGGATTTCCAGATGTCTGGCAGCCTGGCTGGACCCGTGCACGTGCCATAGAGCTGCCCAAAATTTCCAGCCAAAAAAAAAACCCAAAAATAAAACAAACCAACACAAAAAACCGCCACAAAACCCCCAAATCCTGGATAATTTAAAATAATCTCACACTTTAGTAGCCTAAGCAGATCTCCCTTAAAAACAGAGAGTTAAGGTCTGGGTTAGATATTCCCCAAAAATTTCTTAGGCAGCATCCAAGGAAAGACTAAAGCCATGTTCAGCTTTTCCCTTTTAGGTATTTTTTAGAATAAAGAAATTCTTGAAGCAGAGCAGATCTTGATTAGCTAAAACTTGAGTGGACAGTCTCTGCACCCACTTGCCCGCACGCTCACAACCCAACTCGTGTACCATTTTATTCTTGATAGATGTGTGACACGGCACACATCTTGGAAACATAACCTTATTTCTGAAACGAGTCGTAATGACAGCATTTCAGAAATGGGCCGTGTAGTTAGTGTAGCTCCTCCAGGAAAAAATAAACAAAGTATTTGCCAATGTTAAACATTTTTAATGTAATACGCACTCCGAAACTGCAAACACTACTTCATTGAGCTATGACAATTCATTTAAATATTCTTAAAAGAAAATGTTGGCATTTGCTCTGTGTTCCTCTGACAAGAGCCAAATTAAGGCTGGACTACACAATAGAAAATCCAGAACTGGAAACAATCCTGTACTGGTCTGTGGATAGAGCAGATGCCTTCAGTCATTTTCGATATATCATCATTTGTGTATAAATCAGATGGATTATATTCATTCCTGAATGCTAAATGCATCTGCATAGAAACAGGATCGGTATTTTAAGAGTACATCTGCTGCTGCTGCTGATTTCTTTTGTCGTTGTCAATGAAAGAAAGAAAATGAGATATTTGTACTACAACTAGAACAGATATAGCCATAAAAACAGTGAAAAATGCCTCACAAATAAAAAGTACGTAAAAAATAAATTGAGTTCCTTGCCATTGCGAGCTGCAATTTCACAATGCAAATCCTCAGCGCACAAGGCAGCAGCCATGGGCATTTAGAAACCCTTTCCTAGGGCAGACGGCTGTGCCCCCCCAGCCAGCGGGATCAGATCCTGAGTGACCCAATTTCAGCTGTCACTTCTTCACAACGGTATTTCTACAATTTACCAGGAATGTGACATGTTATGTTGGCTAGGACTGCAAACAGTAGCTCCCAGAGTCACTGATCTGCTGTGGAATAAAGACCCGGGGTTCTATTAGCCACAGTTTCATAGGTCAGGTATTTTGGGAGCTTGGGATAATAACAACAGACATATTTTATAACAAAAATATGCAATGGTTCAATGGAACTTATGGGGAAAAGTTTCTTTAGAAGGTATTACTAAAGCTTACTGGTAGGACCCGGTTTTATTCCACAAAACTCAAGATAAACACAGGGACAGCAGCGCTCCCCCATAGGATCAGGAGTTCCCAACTTCTTGACTATGCTTTAAACAATTCCTAACGAAATTCACCTTACTAACCTTATAAACGTTCGGAAACCTGTTGGCCCCAGCTTTGTCGTCCCTTTTACCCCGAGAAATCGGATGAACAGCGCAGCCACTCTGTCCACAAGCCGCAGGTAGCTGAACTGCTTCGCGTACTTGGGGAACACTTGCTTGAGACAGAGGGAGGGGAGCCCGGCCTCCACATTTCGGCTGGGGTCCTCTGCCGCTCCCGCCTCCAACTGCTCCTCCTTTGCTCCCAACACCTGCTCCGAACTCTGGCACCTGCAGCACATCAAATAATTGCATCCAATGTTCATCTTGTTCTTACAAGATTCAAGATGCTGTCTGTGTGGATTTTTTTAATTATAAAACATCTCCCGATATCACAGAAATTGTTTTTTCGTGACGCAGACTCCTCGTGATGCTGTACGACATCCATATTCCCTTCAAAAGGTCTCTACAACCCCACAAATAAATTCTTCCACATAGAGAAGGAAACACCAGACAGTAACTGCACGTTGGTGTCACAGGCATTGAGCAAACACAGGGATGTAGAAAAAAGATGAGTTTCATGGAATTTCATGGATTATTTCACAGGAAATGCTTCGAGGTTGTAATAATCGAATGATATTTAAGCTTATTTTCCAATAAGCTTTTACCTTCCCTGCTAAGTAAAGTACAAAAAGTGCAGTAAGATCTATTTGCAAAGAAGAAACTCTACCAACACATTCAGAAGCAATATGGTTCACATAAAAGCACACTGGCACTACTCAGAAGACAATTTCTGGGCAATCCCATTAGTTTTTCTTCAAATCCTCTGTGTACGTTGTCAAAATAAATTATCTCAGCTTCACTGTTGCCAATTCCCCAAATAAAGCTGATCTGGCCGAAATCCACGTTATCTGCAGGTTTTCATTTTCCTTTCAGTCACTTCTCTAAGTGCCCATCGTCACGAGCAAGTACAATTCACACCAGGCGATAAACTAAATACTGCCTTTACTACATTGATCTTCTGTGTTGCTGAGCAGATGCAGTGCCCTTCCGAAAGGTTTGTTCCAGCAGAGAACAGCAATTAGCACAGTTATTATCCACCCACAGCACCGGAAAAGTTATTAAGTCACATGTACAGTAAATCTGTACCTTCCGACGTCGGCTGCCCTAGTACAACCATCCTGTAGTCAGCCATCCACAACAAATATCCCTGTTACTTAAATCATTACAAATACTTTGCAAATAGCAAAGTAGGAAAAGCATGTTATTTTGTCTTTAGTTAAGTAAAGCTCGAAGTAATAAATTGTTGGGCTGTTTTTACTCCCATGCAAGATGGATGGTGGTTTCACCGCCACCAAGTCCCCTCTGGCTGCCAAGAAAGGGGGCACGTAGAGCCAAGAAACAATAAGCGTGCAGGCTCCTAAAAGGTCTGTTCATGAATTTAAAAATTCAAATCTTCAGCCACTTGAGCCAGACCTCGACCAAATGTACCATGTACCCCCGTCAGAGAGAAGGGTGTATTGCTTGTAACATAACTCTCATTCTAATGATGCCTGAAGCCCCAAACCCTTCTTCATTCTAAATTCAGGAGTGTTTTGCATTGTACATTATTCATTCATCATTAATGTTTTCAGTTAAAAAAATACAAAGCTTTACTATGGAGAAAAGCCTACAGCTGCCTCTGAGGCCATGGATAAAAACTCAGAACCAGCTTTCCATTTCAAACTCTTACTGCAATAGCTCTTCAAACCGTATTTCACATTAGAAAAGTATTATTTAAATAAAACCAGCTTTTCTGTTTGCCACTGTGTGTCTCACTCCTTTCCGCTTACATTGGGAAGGTCTATAAAATATTTAAATCAGAACAAGAAAACCCAATTCTAATCTTTATTGCCAGATCTTGTACTTCCATTAAATTAAAAAGAGAAAATACTTCTTAATTTGCTTTTACAGGTTATTGCTTTTCTAAAGTTTAACCATTTGTTTCCATATAATTTGGATTGAAGTGAATGTTCTATTTTACACTTTTAATAAAACGCCGCCTTTCCAAAATGAGCCTGCGCAAGAGCTCATCTGCATCCGCAAAAACGAACGGATCCATGGGCTCACCTGTTCCGCACTCACCTTAACGTGAGCATCTCCACTGACGGCATTCAGAGCACACTTCTCCACGGCTACAATAAAAGCTTATTTTCTGTAGGTCTATTCAACACACTTGTACACACCCGCTCTCCACATGGTCTCAACATGACTAATTAAGAAAAACTACCTAGTCAGGTACATTACAGCCAGACTTGCTACCTATAAAACCCAAATTTTACTGTGATCTGCACTTTTTTGCAAGGAATCAGTACACAGCGTATTTTCTGTCTCAGCGCTAGATAAATTGCGCTCGCTTGCGATGCACCGTTACATCTTCTCCCATGTCTCGCTGCCATCTGCCATCCCCACAGCAGAAGGGTGAGCCGGATGCCGCAGCTCCCCAGGGATCGGGCATTAGCCACTGGCAAGAGCCACAAAAAGCTGAAACACAGCTCGAAGTCCAGCAAGAACAAATACGTTATTGGGCTTTCCACCTTCACTTCTACCATTGATTCGGCAGTCGATTGGAAAAGACAGAAATACACAGTTTTGTGGTATTACCTGCCAGATTCCAAGTGTCACTAAAAACTCCTCTGTGTATTTACCACTCCGTTCTCACTCCAGAAAGTGGCTTCCAAGCAACAATATTGTCCAGCTCAGCGCTGCAGTCGAGCTGAGGGAAAGGAACTAAAAAATGCTGAAAAAGCCTCCTCAGAATTACTTGTTTTGACTGACACAGCTGAGTCAGGGTACACGAATGAAAGGTCAATACACAGGAATGCTGCTGTTGCCATGCAGAAGAAAAAGCAAAGCCTGATTTCCATACTGATGTCTGACCTCGTTACATTAATTTCTCTAATCCTGCCGCCCGCGACAGGTCTCTCTTTAGAAATTATCAACTGCAGAGACAATATTAACGGCATCTTTAAAAAAGAATTTCAATTCTAACAGAGCTTATGGAAGCAACATCTAAGACTCCTTATCTTTTATACATGATTACTAATTTATTAATGTTTCCTCCATCTATGTTTTATCCCTTTCATTCTGACTAGCCTTAATCTTTATGCAAATACAAGTTGCTAAGGGACAAACAAATTTGCAACTACTAATTAAAGGCTTCAAATTTCCCAACATTTTGTATACCGATATATAAAATTTAGCTACGTTCGCAGTAAAGTGAGGTAAGAATTGCAATAGTCGTATTTCTAAGAATGCTCACTTGATATATTTAACATTTAGGGCATTGCTAGAAGTAAAAATTAAGCAATTTTTGTATCAGCTGACAACCGCTTACCTAATACAAGAAAATATTAGGTTCTGGATTATGAAGCTATAATTATTCCCTCTGCTGAGCCACTATTCTCAAAGCAGGGACTACGTTAACGTAGTTAAGAGCAGAGAATATTTTGCATGACAAATTTATCTATCCACCCATTTATCACTGCAGTATCTGGACCTCCCAAGAAGCACATACGTGTTTGCTACCGGCGTGTGTAGGTATGGGTATGTTCATGAGTCCATTCACAGAAGTAAATCCTTTAGGAAGCAGTACGTCAAAGCCAGAACAGTGCCTTTGCATTATCACCCATTCATGAACTTTCTTTCATGAACTAATCCCTTTATATTAATATTAAACCCCACACAGTGAGATTTTTGAGGTTATGTTAGCAACATTACTGCTCTTACATGGAGTTTACTCAACACTTTGAGAATGCTTCGAGGCAGTCAAAGCAGCCCCAGTAGAGTCCATGTTTCAAAGAGGGGAATCAATCTCATTAAAAATAAGGATTGATAAGCAGGAGGTTGTTGGCAGTCATCATACAAAATACATTTGGAAAACGCAGTAGCTATCCCGTCTCCTAAAAGCAGAAAGTACTGAAAGCAGTTAGGATTTCCATCTCCCTGTGAATCTCAGTTAGAGAAATAAAGCCATTAAATCACCTCACTTAGATTTTAACCTAAGCATGACCACGTCTAACGTGGCCTGCGCCTCCCCAGCCTAACACTGCATTCCCTCTGCAAGGGTGAAAGATGTGGAGCACACCAAGTTTGTTTCTGAGAGTTGACAAATACATTTTAGGTGAATCCAAGGATAAATTAAAAACGTACTCCATAGCCTTGCCATCTGCTTAACAAAAATGAAAATGATTTATCAGATTCTTGAAAAAGCTACATGGAAGCCGCTGCAGTCTGTCACCATCGGCCAGTTGAGGGGTTCCCGTTTTCCATCCAAATACCATTGAGAGGTATTTGTTTAACACCCATCACACTCTAAGTCCACAGACAGCAGCCCCCTTGCTGAGGATGTTTTGCTGCCTCTTCAGATGGGTTGGATATATTATAAAGATAAACACATCTCATTAAAGATTAAACAGCTTGTGAAAGAAAACAGAAGACTTGGAAAGTTTGCGGACTTAATACCCTGTTAATGAGGGTTTCCAAAGAGTAGAAAGTTGGTGGGGATCCTGACTTGCTCCACACCAAGGACACAAAGCAATGAATGCGAATATTACAGCAGCTTTCATATCACAAGCAGAGAAAACTAGAGCTTCCACTTCAAACTCAAAAGTTAACGCTGCCAAACACTTTGTTCAGGAAGAAATGCAGTTTTATATGAGGAAACACGCCCGACAGCCACACAAGCAATGATCCAATTACCGCCATTATCACCAAGTATTATTCAAAGACTGACACTTCCCTTGTTTAGGTTTGCACCAAGCCTATGACAAGAACCAGAAATCAGAAAGGCTGTGTTAATTCCCTTGTATTTTAAACTAAAGCTCAATGCAATCAACCATCTCAAACCTGATATCCAACGCTGTAAGTGTTCACCGGTGACACCGCGATTAAATCTCGTTCTGTGAAACTCCTCCCCTACAGCAGCACACCAGAGAGGAGAGGCATCCTTTAGAAACACAGATACTGCACACCTGGGATAACGTCCATCTGTCCCCTGGTTTTATCTCTGTAGCACTCCCTGACACATAGTTTAAAATAACTAAAGTGACAAAATGCATTTGAGGAGTCTCAGGTGCAACGCGCTGAAAAAACCACATTTGTTTACTAATTATTCATTGAGATTCTTTCTTTCCAACTTTCTCCTTTTAAGAATAATGGTAACATCAGTCTGTATTAGCTGAAGATTTGTTACTTTTCATATAACAGAAGCAGGGGATGCTTATGCTATTTACCTGTCATCTTCGTGAGAG